CCCCATACTCCTTTCTTTTCTGTACTGGCATCTGTAATTACGCTGCGCCACAGTCACTCTGCAAGCCAAACGACGCATTTAGCCTTTTCTTGTACAGTTTCCATTTTACAGGGTAACACTACACACTGGAGTGAAAAAAAGACAATAAAAAACTGTTGGGCTACAAGATGTTGAAAACTGCATGGTCGTATTTCCTTAGTTATTTAATTATTAAATGTTAACATATAAAAGATAATTTTGTAGCACCCTGTATATCGTTCATGATCATTAGACATTAAAAGTTACCATCCACGACATGTTACCAATAAACTGTTTAAAGTTACCATCCACGACATGTTACCAATAAACTGTTTAAAGTTACCATCCACGACATGTTACCAATAAACTGTTTAAAGTTACCATCCACGACATGTTACCAATAAACTGTTTGTTTGTTGATAAGTGAAAAGCTACAAAATGGGTTATCTGTTCTTTGTCTATAGTTACTATCAAAACCCGATAAGACCTGAGAATTACTACGAGAGGTAAAATTCCAAGAAAATAAATATGCTGATAAAATTCACCTTATTAACTAAAACCTATCTTTCAACGATTCGAACAATATTTTTATTTCTCTCAAGTCTTAAACCTACAGTTATTGTCACGAAAGTTGTATAGACACTGTTCTAAGTTATATAAAACACACAAGAATAACCAATATTTCAAAAGTATTGCGGGTGACGGGTTCGAATCATGTCACCGAAGATGTTCGCCCTTTCTGCCGGGGGAGGAGGAGGGAGGTATGATATGACGTTGAATCCCACTTTTCTTTGGTAAAGAGTAGCCCGAGAGTTAACTGTGAGTGATATTGATTAATTAATTCAAAACAGTACTTCTGCAATAAATATATAAATATGCAATTAAAATGAGTACAACGTTAGAATAATTTCACAATAAATAAGATTCTACATGTTTCGGTTTTCTTACGCTACTATCTTCAGGAGTCATGATATTGACTAGCTGCCTTCCTTCTAGTCTATCACTTCAAAATTGGAAGCCGCAGATAACCGTCGAGTAGTTTCGCGCGAAATTCAACAAACTAACAAAAGTATTGTCATGCAAAATTAATGGGCAAAATCATACAAAAGTAGTAAAAAAATCTAGCAGCCTGATTGATAATATTGAATAAACGAATATATTACATCGATTCTTGATTTTAGAACGAAAAACAAACATTTTGCATCAATTTACCAAAATGAAGACACTGCTATATGGAATCAACGTATGATCCAATTATGTATCATAAGAATTATAATAAAAAATTAGTGCTGAAACAGAACAATGTAGCAAACAAATCTACAAGTGGTAAGCTCAATAAGAAAAATAAAATAACTTTAATAAAACTTTAAATATCAACATATATTTTGAAGATTAATCTACCAGAATAAGAGTATCGAAAAGGTTCTAAATTAACAGTAGAACCAGTGCGATAAAAACGTAAACATTAATTTATTGTCTCTTCTTACTTCTTTCTCTTTTAGCTGAGTTCTCTGAAATATATCTTAGAGCAGCATCTTAAAATGTTCTATACCGTGACCATTCTTTTTTGAAATGGTTAGCTGAGGAGTTTTCATGACTGAAATACATAATAGATGTTTATGTGTGCGTTCAGCAACCTTCCGCTACTTAGTAGATGTTTAGTAGTGCATTCAGCAACCTTCACGCTACTTAATAAGTGCTTAAGTGTGCGTTCAGCAACCTTCCGCTACTTAGTAGATGTTTAGACGCGTCTCTAGCAACCTTCTTGTACTTAGTAGGTGTTTAGTAGTGCATTCAGCAACCTTCCGCTACTTAATAAGTGCTTAAGTGTGCGTTCAGCAACCTTCCGCTACTTAGTAGATGTTTAGACGCGTCTCTAGCAACCTTCTTGTACTTAGTAGGTGTTTAGATACGCGTAGAGCAGCCTTCCAGTAATTTTAGGTTTACGTGTGTAATATTTTAGGGCCTTTTTACTACTGTTTTTTTTTTTTATGTGAAGGTGTATTTTACATGTAACGCGGAAGGCTTGGTTATTTAACGATGATACTGACATCTTGTTTGTTTGTCAAATAGGTGAATAGAAATATTCGTTTTTTTGCAATAAGTGTTCGTGAATTTGAGTATGGCTGCTTAATTTTGCCAGTATATTAATCTTTGGTAAGAGTTGTTCGTGTGTTATATATTCATTTATGTATATTCCGATTTTGTGAATATAAAGGCGTTTTCTTAAACTAGTTTGATATTATCAAGTAGTGAAATTAGAAACCCCGGTTATTTTCAATGAAAAATTAGTGAAATTAGAAAACCCGGTTATTTTCAATGAAAAAGACTTCAAATAGCCCGGCATGGTTAGGTGGTTAGGGCGCTCGACTCGCAATCTGTGGGTCGCGGATTCGAATCCCCGTCACACCAAACATGCTCGCCCTTTCAGCTGTGGGGGCGTTACATGGTGACGGTCAATCCCACTATTCGTTGGTAAAAGAGTAGCCCAAGAGTTGGCGGTGGGTGGTTATGACTAGCTGCCATCCCTCTAGTCGTACACTGCTAAAGTAAGGACAGCTAGCGCAGAGAGCCCTCGTGTGGCTTTGTGCGAAATTCAAAAACAAACAAATAAGCCCCCCCCCCCCAGTGGCACAGCGGTATGTGTGCGGACTTACAACGCTAGAAACCGGGTTTCGATACCCGTGGTGCGAAGATCACAGAAAGCCCATTGTGTAGCTTTGTGCTTAATTTCTAACACACACACACACAAACAAACAAACAAAACTTGTTTTCAAATAATATATATATATATATTCGGAACAAGTTAAACGTATGTACAATAAAGTCTTCACACTATAGAGAGTACAGGCATATCATAAACATTATTTGTATATAGTTTTCTTCTTCTTGACAAAAGTCCACTTAGGCCTATTCAATTACTTTAGAATTTCAGTTGACAAGTCGAACTATTTTCTCTATATTACTATCGTACTAGTATTCTTATTCGATGACAATTACTAATAATGTTTGGAGACGGCTTGAATGAGTAATGAAGAAAAATTTTAATATAAGTTTTCTTCATTACCCATTCAAACAGTACTAGTATTCTGTGTGTGATTCACTTACAGTTCTGGCGCAAGTTACGGTAATTCGTTTGGTCTTCTTTCTTCTGAAGATTCTCTGTTCCTTTTGTCAGAATGTACCCAGGCTGATTCAATTACTTTAGAACCACGTCTTGACGGAATAAAATTATCCTTCTTATATTTTTTATACATATTAAACGTTAGGCCTATGTCAGTCATCAGGCCTATCACATCTACGGTACTTAACTTCACACCAACTATATTCTCTTTGCTTTTATCTGTCTAATGTTGTCTGTCTGCTGCTTCCCGCTCGTCTCACGCTATTTATATCTTTATTACATAGTCGTCTGGCCACTTTCTATATTCTCGACACCAATTAGTTATTAACAAAACCTTCTACAATCGTCTGCTTTTAACTCTTATTATAACAAAACTTAAAAATATTCACTCACAAAACTATATTAATCAATACTATCTGAACGAAACAGTCTTTTACATCATGACACTATTCTAGAAGTATCCCAGCACATTACTATCCTACAAGTATCTAGTACATTACTATCGTACAAGTATCCTGTACATATGAACTGAGATACTTTCAAGGCACGTGACTTTTCTTTATGTTAAACTTTCCAGTAGTTCAATACAGCAAAGAACACTGATCACAATTAGCGAGATTCCAGAGATTGAGTGATTAGAAAAGTAAACACATTTAAGGATTGTTTCAATAAATTCAAATTTCCATGTTATATCTGTACCAAACCCAAGTAAACCTAAAAAAGAAGCCAGACAAATGTTTTGGTCACTTGGAAACACCTTCATAGCTAAAACATAGTATAACCAGATGCATTCGTTTTCCGTTGTGAACATTTCATTACTACTTGTAAATTATGCACAACAAGTTATATATTACCCGAAGTTATAGAATAATTAGTTACATTTGAAGGAAAGCGGCATGTTTTGTTTTTCTCTACAATTATTTTAATACACATTCTTAAATAATTGCACTTATGTCTTCAAGCAACATCCTCTCCAAATAAATTTGGAATATTGTAACATTTTTTAGTGCCAGAATCACATAAAGAATATGTAACATACAAATTCATTGCATTTCCATCATAATTCTGTACATGCAAAACCATATATTCATAGGAGTGTAAATAAACCGAGGACTTGTATTGGAAGTGCTCATCAGTATATTAATCTCTATACGTTTTCTTATCAGTTGTTACAATTTTCAAATACCTAATGCGATCTTCAAATGTAACTGTACATCAGAAATATGTGGATTTTACAGAAAGAAAAAGAGTACTAAAGGAGAGGTGAGATATCAAAATATTGTTGCGTCATCGAGATCACGTGACTATTCTCACGCCCTCTAGTTTCTAGAACTATCTTATTCTTTCCGAATATAACTTTACCGATACACTCAACTTCAACAATCGCGCTAAACAAACGCTGTAACGTCTCTCGTGCTCTCTGACTGCAGTTATATTCGGAAAGAATAAACCAGTTTTATTAAGAAAGGACTTGTGTCGCTTAAGTTTCGTCGGAACGAAGTTACGGAAAATCAATTAACAAACGGAGACGTAACAGTATTGATCATCATCAAAAAAATCTTTCAGGGATTTTGAAATCTATTCTGGATTTAAAGGATTAAGTTAACTTTACTTCATTTTAATTTTATGAAGATTCACACCAATTGTAGAAATGTTATCAGTAATTTTCATAAAAAAGCATACTTTGTACATTTGTTGGTGAAAAAAAGAAAAAAAAAGCCTGCAATAAATATAAGTTTCAGTAGGACGTGTAATCTGGCCAACAGTTTTTACGTAGTAATGGCACACTTGCAAATGAATTATGCTGTGTTGCTGTAATTATGTTAAGGCTGAAAGATTTATATTTATCATACTACAGGCCTACAATTCAGTGTTGCAGTTTGCTGAGAGTAGAGAAAAGTACCCAGAGCTGAGGATTCCCATGTGTGTGATACCAGCCACCATCAGCAACAATGTACCAGGAACTGACTTCTCATTAGGTGCTGACACAGCACTCAATGAAATAACAGAGGTTAGTTGTGTGTATTTTCAAATACACAGCTATATGATTCATACTTAAATTGTATAGCTTTCAGCTTTTGGTTATTATGTATGCTTCTTGCTTCAAAGTTAGAGTACTCGATTTCTTTATCAATGACAGTAATAAAAGTAGTAATAATATTGCTTTTTTTGATTAGTTAAAATCTTGCTTGAAAAGTTTTTGTTTATTATAGATTAATATTTTATGCTAAAGCCTTTTTAATGGAATTTATATCATAAATGAGACATGCTTCTTACTGGAAGTAGCAGTGTTGCTAAATATATGCCACAGAATCTTTTAGTCCATTTTTTTGAAATAATCTGCCTATAAAATTTTCTTGTCTTAATGAAGTTAGCTATGATGAGAATTTGTCATATTTTAATCTAATATTAGTTCTGTCTCAGTATATACAAGAATTAATGTTTTAAAACAAAGACCCTAAGTATAAAAAATATACACTAAACATAACCACGGGTGTTTTTCATGAACTTCTGGAAAGCCTTGCAACATGGAATTGATGTTTCATACGTTTTATTGTTAGAGTGACTACTTAAACACTGTTTTCTATTTAGTTTTATTATTATATTTTGATCGATGGTGGCTCACAGTTAATATTCAAGAGCAGGCTGGTGATATTGTAACCCCCAACCACACAAATAGAGAACAGTAACAGGTATTTACTTTAGGTATTTTGTTTTATTTACATGTGACTTCAAGCTATCATAGCTGTAAACACATTGGTAATATAATTACGTAAGACATGGCCTAATTATTTTTCAAACTGTGAAACTGAAATATCCTCCAAATCATCCAAATTAAGTCACTGCCATTTACTGGAACTCAATTTTACTTGTTTATATCCTTAAAAACACTGAATAATTACATTATTATTAAATGTGTACCAGTCCCTGATCACCATAATGTTGCATGTTTCTCATGGTTGCAAACTTTTCTTATGATGATTTTCATTGGTTATTTATAAAAACCTAGATTCTGATTGGTTCAATTGGGTGTGCCAGCAACTTCAAATCCATGGTAAAAAAGGGCTCAACTCCTCTTGGCTGTATTGAATTGCCTAACAGATATGACAACAGTTCAAGATAATCTCATACTTGATTACCATGGTTAATCTGGTATACATTCATCTGATTGTTAACTAAATATCTTAATAAATTCTTGTAGATCTGTGATCGCATTCGTCAATCAGCTCAGGGAACCAAACGCAGAGTTTTTGTAGTAGAAACTATGGGTGGTTACTGTGGATATCTTGCTACTTTAGCTGGGCTTGCAGGAGGTGCTGATGCTGCATATATCTTTGAAGAACCATTCTCTATCAAAGATCTTATTGGTGATGTTGTTCATATGCAGGCCAAAATGGCTGAAGGTGTACAAAGAGGACTCATATTGAGGTGTGTTTTTCCCACAAGAGTTGCATATAATTTGTTGTAAATAAATGAATTATATGATTGATTTGAAAGAACTTTTGCTTAACATTTGTATAGATGATAACAAGCATTGATTCATTAATCCAATAAGTTTCTAGTGAATATGTGTAATAAAATATATAAAGTATCAGTTGCGAGAACCAATAACTTTTTTTTTCATTGCTTAAATTTTCTATTTTGAAAGAGTATAGTACTGTAAATGCAAATAAAATTGGTCAATTATTACTGGAGTACGAAATAATGTTTTTATTAAAAATGAATGTATCATATGGTATAGTTCATTATAATATAAAAAAAAAACTTTAAGGTTTGATGATACGATCAATAATTAATTCTTTATGTTTTCAAGCCTTATATTAAAATGCATAATATTTCAACCATATGGCAATCTTGTAATAATTTGTGATGACTACAGCTGTAACTTGTGTATTTGTGAATTCTTTTAGAAATGAATATGCCAATTCCAACTATACAACAGACTTCATCTTCAGACTGTACAGTGAAGAAGGTAAAAATATATTCTCAACAAGGATGAATGTGTTGGGTCATATGCAGCAGGTAGGTATTGTCACCAAATTTAAGCTTCTTATGTACTTTAAAAAATACTTTTTTCATTGTACTCAAATTTTATATAGATCTTTAGAAATTGATACTGATACAAATGGCATTTTTATTACTCATGCCACAAGCTTTCCACACTCCTGTATTGGAATCATTTGATTCCAACGTGAATCTCATGCAAATCATCATGTGTCACTTCTCCACCAATAGGAGAATTGTACACTCACGTAACGCACGTGACTCCCTCTGTGTGTCTCTACTGAACTATTACTTCTAGTTTGGCAGTGCTTGCACTCGGACGCCTTTCTTTTTTCATCTTGATTGGTGTTTGAGATTGAATTAGTTCTTGAAGTGGTTTAATTTCACATACTTTTTTTTTAAGCATTCAGGTTCAATTATCGTTGTTCCAGTCACATTTATTTCGTACTTCAAATGCTTTTGTTGACTGATACAATGTGAATTCTGAAGTTAATGTCACCACTTCAGGTGTCTCACATTTGACAGGTGCTTTATCACAGGCTTCAGGTGCTGGTGACCCATTGGGAGATTTGTATACATTTATTTGCAGGGAGATTGAACATTATATGGATCATCCTCTATCTCCAGACATGCCAGCTTCTTCCTGATCCTATGCAACCTGGGCAGGCTGATTAGGATATTGATCGCCTGTTTCTACCTTCTGCCTTCCCATACCCTTCCTGAGGATTCTGTTTGGCCTTCCATGGTTTTTTCAGACTTTATTTCTCAGGTATGTGATGTTTTATCCCTTGCTCCCATATCTTATGACCTGCGTCCGTCATTACTTCAAGAATTTACTTCCCAACCCTATTTGATTTTTCCCCTGTCCCCTGACAATTGGGTTCATGCTGAACATTTTGCCACTCGTGTGGGCGATGGCATTAGTGCGCCTCATCCCCCATGGGCTTTGGATCAGTCTGCCCTCTCATATCATAGGGCTGAGTGTCCATATCTCAACCAACAACTGTTGGGTTCGGTTTTATTCATTTGGGGGTGGGCTCCGAATCTCTGGTTAGTCTCACCTATGCCCAATTTTTCCCCCTCCATCTTACCCTCACAACTCTTTTTTGGTACCTTTCCACAATCCATTATTTGTCTAAGGCTCTTCACAGAAATCCTTAGAGATTTACTGGGGACATTCTCTCTCACCTTACCTTCACTTTAGCTCGTTTGTCTTCTTCGACTCTGGTTTCACAAATATGGTTTATCTGCTCTTTGGCCCTTTTAGGTCATGGTGCTGTTTTATCAAGAACCTGATTACCTGCTCCTTATCTCCTGGATTTGCGTATGGCTCCATTTTTACAATGTTTCATCTTTGATATGGACCCGAAGTCCTTCGAGTCTCAGGTGGCATCTGTCCATCAACAATCTACCCTTTCCCATCTAGTAGTTCGTTTATTTCAATTGGAGCCGATTCTGGTTTCCTATCCTTCTCCTTACCAGCCCTTACCTGTCCCTCCTTCTCATAGTGACATCATTTTTCTAAATGATGCACGATACGCTGCCACCAGTTCCAGTGACTAACTGGTAGGTTTGGGCCCAGTGGGAGCTCGACTTGTGACCTTTGTTCGTCAATGGCATCCCACAACTTGCCAGCATCTATCAGAGGTGGTACAGGATCTCCTCACCCACCAGGCTAATAAACCTGTTCCACATCATTTACTGGGGTTTTACTCCTATCTGTTTGTTGTTCCCAAAAAGACCTGTCATCAATCTGTCCCACCTAAATCAGTTGTTCACCTCCCATGTTTTACCATGGAGTCCTACCTCACTCTTTGGTTCTGTGGATGATCAAGATGGACATCTACAATGCTTAACTGCATATTCCCATCTCGGAATGATCTTGTCCTTATCTTTGGTTTGTCCATTGAGGGTGGTTTACCAATTTTGTGCCCTTCCTCTCGGGCTGGCTTCTGTTCCTTATGTTTGATCAAATTGGAGAAGTCTTTCCTGTGTCCTATCCAATACCTTGTGCACTTGGGTATCTTTTTGAATACTCAACTCAGTGGGGCCCAACCTTCTCCTCTCCAACTCAGTTATGTGGAATTGACAGTTCATCATGCCCTAACTGCTCCCACACTTTCTGCATGCAAGGTTCTGACACTCTTGGGGATGTAGTCTTCTATGACACTGCTGATCACGCCCGGCTGTGCACATTTGCACTCCTTTAACTGGGTTCTGCACAATCAATGGAACCTTGCTTGGGATCCCTTGCATACTCCCATAACACATCCTCCTTCCCTTGTAGATGATCTCCTTTGGTGGTTGGACAAGACTTGCACATCAGCGAGTGCCCAACTTCCTCCTCCTTGTCCGAATTTACATATGTTTACGGACGTATCCCTTCAGGGATGGGGTGCTTGAGCTGATCACCAGGAGGCTTTGGGTTGTTGTTAAATCGAGAAACAGTCTTTACATATCAATGCCCTAGAGCTCCTAGCCATTCATTGGGCTTTAGATCACTTTCTTCCCATTGCCAGATATTGTCTGGTAATGATCCATGTCAACAATTTAACGGTGGTGGCTTACATCAATCACCATGGCAGCACCCAGTCAAGATCCCTCTGTTTTCATACATTGGATCTCCTATATTGGGCCCACACACAACACATTAGTTTGATTGTGTGTCATATCCCGGCTGCTTTCAACCTCTCTGTGGATCATCTTACTCGCCCTGACAAGATTTATCTGATCAAGTGGTCCCTTCATCCTCTCATTTTCTAGTGGCTTTGCAATCTGTGGATTTTTTCTCACATTGATGCATTCGCCACCACCCTAAATCACCAGTTACTCCTCTTTTGGTCCGCCCATACCTCATTCTCAGGCTTTGGCTATAGATGCTTTCAGCCAGGATTGGTCACAAAAATGTTTATCCTCCTATCTGATTGCTGCATTAGGTAGTTTCCCTTAACCATTCCACTCCATGCTGGGTCCTTCTGATCGGTCCCTACTGGCTGGCTCAACCACGGTTTCCTCATTTGCTCCAACTGCAATTATTTCTGTACCATTACCATTATTACCCAACTTCCTTCATCCACCCCAGTAACTGGTTCTGCATCCTGCACGTCACATCCTCTGGCTTTTGTCTGGTTTCTCCTGTCGTGTAGTTTTTCATTTGGTTCAATCCATCCATCCTTCCTCCATGGAAGTGTATCAGTGAAAGTGGAAGGTCTTTTGCACATGGAACCAGGCTTGGGGATTTTTTGCTGCTCGTCCTACTGCTGCTGGCATCTCCTAGTTTCTCACGTAGCTTTTCAACTGCAGTTCTTCAGTCTTCCGATATCAGGTTATTGGGCAGATTTGTCCCATATCTTTTGTCTTTCCTATTACTGCAGGGTTTTTCTCTCACCTGCCCTTACCATGTTACTCTGTTCCTGCTCTTCGGGATTGGGACATATGTGGTTCTCCATTCCCTTACTTCACCTCCATTCAAACCTATTTCCTTGTGTTCTTTGTTTCACCTGTTCCTTAAGGCATATTTCCTTCTTTTTTTTTTGGCCTGTGGGTGTCAGAGGTCTGACTTGTTCACCATCAACATTACACGCACACATTACCACCATATCTATCTTCTCCTTTATGTGGGTCTTTCCTTCCCAAAACCTTGTCGTCTCATGAGGGTGACTCCTCCTTTTCGGCTATTTCCCTTCCCTTTATTTCTCATCTCTATCCATGTCCCGATCCAGATAGACTTCTATGTCCTGTGTGTGCCCTATGTTGTTATATTGACTGCATGGCTTCCTTCCATGGTTCCCATTCCCTTCTCTTTATTCCATGGCAACCCTCTTCATACAGAGATCTCTCCCCTTTTACCCTGACCAATTGGATTCGTCATTTGATCTAGTTGGCTTATTCCTTGTTCCTTTCCCACCATACTTTGATCTGTGTTACCTCTCATCAAATCCAACACCTTACCTTTTCCCTTGCTTCTCGTCTTTGTCAGCCTTTGGAGGAAATCCTACAATTGGGCATGTGGACCAACCCTAACATGTTCATCTCCCAGTATCTGCCTTATATCGTGGTCTCGGCTTCCTCGGGTTTTCATCTTCCACCTGTGGCTGTACTTCTGACACTGGGTAAGTGTTTATTAATACTTTCTTTTCTTTCAGGGGCCCATTCTTCATGCCTTCATTACATGGATCCCACTCAGTGGCGAGTGGTGCCTGACCAAGTATTTTTTAACTCTAAATCTGCACTGTACACCATGTGGACTAGCACTTTCCTTTCCTTGGCTTCGTAGGTGAATAGCCTTGCAATATTTGCTTCATAAATTGGCCCGTCCCAGACTGTACCACCCATGGGCTTCATGGGTAAAGCAGAAGGGGGGAGTGAATAACTCGGTATGGTCTGCTTTTCAAAGTAAGGTTTTGTGTTCATCCACTACACTGTCTTGGGTGTCAATATTCTTCCAGGCTCTCCAATGCATCCTCGGTCCCCTTTTCTTCTAGTGAAGTATGGGAGTCCTTACCACATACCAGTTCCAAGGTGCTGGGGTGGTTGACCATGGAGGCACTCTGCTGGATGGGTTCAACATAAGATTATAACCATTCAGTGTAGATGATGTAATATCCTCCAATTTGCAATTAACCATACAACAGAGTGCAACGTCTAAATGCAGTTCACCCCCTCGAGTTGGAACCTTCTTCTTTCCCTCGCATGGATGTCGGGTACCCTGCGGGCTGGTTTTTGATTTTGAGTGAACCAATCAATATAAGTTCTCACACAGGTGTAGGGTTGTCTATCTTCCTCCCTCAATTTTCTCCTTCTGTGTTGTGGGTCACAGCAGGGATACGTGGATTATTCCAGTTCTATCCTTGGCTCTGCCTCTCTTATTATGTAAATGTTATTGCCCTTTGGATGGTCCCGACCTGTTTCACGATCAAGGGAGTTGATTGCATGCGATAGACTTCTTTTTGATACCAGATCTACAGCTCAGAGTTAATCCTGTGTAATACCCAGGAATTGGAGTGGTTCTCAATTCCCCGGTTCTTGGGTTTCAGGTGAAAATGATATGATCTTCGTCCTACCCTTGCACAGATGTCGGTACCCTACGAGGAGGTTTTTGGATCTAGTTGACTTAATGAGTACAGTCTGCTGCACCATAGCCACTCTACACCATGGGACACATCCTAATTTACCCACTTTTCTTATTGTGGGATTGAGTTACTATATCTTTCTCTGGTTAGGATCACTTTCCTACCACATTCTTTCCCACTCGGATGTGCTCCTTTCATTTTCCACCATGATTTCTTACACATTCCACATATAGAGTTCCCCTCTTCTGACTTGACTCTCTTTTGGGGGGTACGACTGTTCTTCCCTCGCACCATTCCCTCCTCCTAATCAATGTGAGATTCTTGTGAGAGGAGGTAAGTACTGTATCAGAAGTTATAATTTTCCTATACTGAAAATGTACTTCCGATAGGTGATTCCCTCCTCTCACACTTCCCACCCTTCCTCTCCACTCATTTCCAGTTTTCCATCATCTGCCAAACTTTGAAGTGATAGTTTCCTACCACATTCTTTCTCACTCGGATTTGCTCCTTTCATCTTCCACCATGATTTCTTACACATTCCACATATGGAGTTCCCCTCTTCTGACCTGACTCTCTCATCTACAGAGGTATCCTTTCAGATGCTTTTGGGGGGTACGACTGTTCTTCCCTCACACCATTCCCTCCTCCTAATCAATGTGAGATTCTTGTGAGAGGAGGTAAGTACTGTATCAGAAGCTATAATTTTCCTATACTGAAAATATACTTCCGATAGGTGATTCCCTCCTCTCACACTTCCCACCCTTTCTCTCCACTCATTTCCAGTTTTTCCTTCATCTGCCAAACTTTGAAGTGATAGTTCGGTAGAGGCGCATAGAGGGAGTCACATGCATCACATGAGTGTACTTTTCTCCTATTGGTGGAGAAGTAGTGCATGATGATTTGCATGAAAGACACTTTGGGATCATTTGATTCCAATATGGGTGTGAGGAAGGCTTTTGGCATACATTATGAAAAAGTTTGCATATAGAAGGCAGCAATGAAGGAGAATAGCTAATCTTGTGAGGGAGGGAAGTACCTATCGAAAATACATTTTCAGTATAGAAAAATTATAACATTCAAGTCCTTTCTGATAATGATGCTTGGTTTTTATTTTCAAGTTACACAACATTTGTCCAATATTAGCATGAATACTGGTTATACTATATAGTAATAAATCCAATTTGTTGGGAAGAAAACTTTTTAATCTTTTTTGATTAAGTAGTTTAGTTACATGTGTTACTGATTGGAGGAAATGGAAAAAAAAAGAATATTACTGAAATTTGTTTTTTACATTAAAAGGGTGGTAGCCCATCACCATTTGATCGTAACTTTGGTACAAAGATGGCTTCTAAGGGAGCTGAGTGGTTGATCACCCAACTGAAAAAAAACACTGATGCCAGTGGAAATATTTCTTGTAACAGTCCTGAAACTGCCATCCTGTTAGGCTTAGTTAGACGACAGTATCGCTACACTCCAGTACAAGCATTGAGAGCTGAGACAGATTTCAAGTAAGTGAAAAAGCTAAATGAATTGGTTTGTATCAAGATAAATGTACTGAATAAATCATAAAACTTTAAATTTCAAAGGTATATTACAGTCATATAAAATTATTTGTCATTTAAGTTATTCAAACTAAAAAACAAAACTAGAATACCTAACTTTCTCTCACTAATACACTTTTCTACCTTTCCTATAACTAATATGAACTTTCTTCATGTTATTCTTCCACCAATAAATATCCATATTGATTAGGTTTAAAAATACTTACTTCATGAGAAAATGCTTGTAATTTTATTCTAGAAATCGCCTTCCTCATCTTCAGTGGTGGCTACACTTACGAGCTCTCTTGAAGGCTTTGGCCACTCCTGTTGTTTACTTGGTAGACCAGGGTGTAACACCCTCTCCTAACCAGTTTGAGAAGACCATTTTTGAAGATGCTGATTCTTTTGGGGAAGCTATGGAATAAAGAGTCATTTATGTCTATATACTCCTCACTAACAGCTTCACCTTTACAGACGTTTGTTTTCTTTCTTGTTTTAAAGTGTGTGCCTGTCAGATTCAATGGCTGTGTGAACAGTGGTGTGACAAGTAATAATTAGATTTTAATTAATCGTCATTATACTGAGGTCATAGAAATGATACTATGTGAGTTGTCAAAGTATTTTTAAAATCTGTTTCTTCTTACTTGATTTCACAAAGTTTGCAACATAAAGTGTGTGCTTGTGTAATTTAGCTTATTTACATTTTCGTTTAAACCAAATGTTTTTATTGCAGAGACTTCTATCTTAAATATCTGAAAGTGTTCTTCCGTATCCATGTATTTAGTGAAACACATCACATTATTAAGTGGCTTATTTTTTCAATAAGGAAGGCTGTTAACATTTTTTTCTTCTAATACCATTATGATATCACAAGCAATAAAGTTTCATAAAATCCCTTGTTAAGGTTTGATTACATATGTATGACAGAATAGTTACAAAAAAAGGACAACAACATTAAAACTAGTCATGAATTAATATGAAGAGTGAAACATAAAGCTCAAAAAAGATTTTAGTAATACAGTTTTCTATAATTTTGTATTTGAGGTGTTTAGTTATTATGCTGGATTGCATTCTTAACGTAGTTTGACTAGTCACTGTTGACATTTTTATTGCATAATTAGTATTTTTGTAGCACAATATGCTATATTGGGAAGTGTATTGAAGCTTTTTTATTTCCTTTCATTTGACATCCTTAACAATTCTTACTATGTGGGTTTCTTCTTTAGAAACAAATATTATTTTACTCTTCCTCTCTCCTACCATTTTTCACATATAAAATTTAGCACTTGACACACATCAGGTTATGACTAATAGATAACTCTTACTTATTTTAAAAGATTATTCTTTTTTTACCATTCATTTTAAATTAATTAATTTAAAGAAAATTTATGTATTGTTTTTCATATGTTTGTGAGGTTTTATAGTGTTATTTTTATTGAAGGTACAAAGGACAATAACTAGTGAAAAAAAGAATAATTAACATGTTCATATAATGACTCCTGTTTGAAATTAAAATATAAAAAACAAATTGCCCAGTATACATACACTAGACTAATTCAACTTCCTTCATCAAATTTTGATTATATTTTTAAAATTTATTGTGTAATATCTTATCTATTCTATTATCCTTATTGTTGTAGACATTGAATTTCCTAGCATCGGTGGTATCTGAAGCTTCGTCCAATTCTGCAGATAATCACAGGGCATGATACCTTACATGAACTATCTGAATCTAGCCCTGAACTAGTCAAGTTTTACTCAGTACAGATGCTTAATTTAAGGAACTGTTGCAATATTGTTTTTCCAACTTCTGTTATTAATCTACCTCTTACATTTGAAGAACCACAGAATGATTTCAGACTACCTATACATTTTTTAAATTAAACTTTGAATATTTAAACATAAGCCGTATATTTCTTAAAACTCTAGTACTAAATATTATGTTTATTTAAAAAAATGTGGTGAAGTCAAAATCAAGTATAATATACATGGATGTCATTTATTTATTGATTTTATATTTTATTGTTGTATAGGTTTTCTTGTGAAAAGAGCTGATGTTTAGTCCAAATACAAAAATTTACTACCTAAACTTAAAATGACATTTATTGGTGTAAGGTTAACTAGCTAGTTTGATAAATCTGGCATTATTAATATATTAAATTGTTTCTTGTTTTTTGTAATTATTTTATCATTGTTTGATTTTTATTTTATTTTAAAAAGTATCTGTGATCTCATTAAGTTTAAAATCTCTTGATAATTAAACATATCACATAATATTCATTAATTTCCTTGAATGCTGAAATTAGCGAAGCAAAGTTTTATCTCACTTACTAAAAGCAGATTAAAAACTAAAATATTTTAAATAATAGTAGTTTATAACTTATGATAAAAAAATAGACTATGTAACTGAATAGTGTGACAACCTCACTCTTTTGAAGCTTAGATTATATTTTCTGAAGTGTTTTTAAGATACTGAACAAAATACTTTTTGTGAAAGTTACCTTCTCTTATTTGTTTCGTATCTTGAAAAGAAATATACTGTCATGAACTCTATACACATTAACTGTTATTGTATGTATCGTGTTAGAGTAGCAGTATGTTTGTTCTTGTGATGGTTGTGAGGCTAGTGAACCATATACGTAAATGTTTTCATTAAAATTGAATATTTATTATTTATATAAATGGTAGCTTTTTATAGTAAGGCTACTTTGGTTGTCTAATGCCAAAACAATTTTGTGTAAACTTTCTAACTACTTAAATTTTATTGACTTGGTAATTACTGTCCTTACCAGTCTGGATAATGTCTTTAATAGTTTTATTAGTTCTCTGTAATCTTAGCTATGTGGTAAACTGTGGTTTATCTTTTCATTACTCATACTGTAAAAATTTAAGTTGCTTAATGTTTACAAATGTGGTTGTTAAATTTCACTTATCCCCTTGAAAACTGACTAGTATTTTATAAAAATGTTTTTTTATCTTTTAGTTTTATTACCATGAAATACTGGTTGAAGAAAGATAACCTAAAATTTTGTTAATTATTTAATACCTAAATAAAAATCAATCAAATGTTATGGTCAGTGTTGTTGGAGTTATATACAGTAGTAACTTAACAGATGACTTGACAGGCTTGATACTGAATTATTTTATTTATATTAATTCAATAATTGTTAATCCCTTTTATATATGTATTACAATTTATATTGATTGGCATTATAGATATATTTATAGTTATAAAAAACATGATTTTACAGCAGATGCTACCAACTTCAACAGGAACTTTTTCAATGCCTGAGTTAATAAACCTTGTTGTGTTGTTAATGATGTAATGTAACTACAGGTATGCATTCTACTTGTGAATTTTTATTTGTATTAAAAATAAGAATTATATGAATTATCTAGGTATTTCTTCCTAGGAAAATAACTTCTGAATTACTGAAAAGAGCAATTGAATTGTCTTTTTATTTGTTTAAAATTCTTATAAGTTACTGCTTTATTTATTACTTTTTTAACAAAAGAACTTATACATTATTTGAAACAGCCCTTATATTTAAAAATTTGAGGCTCTTCTTGTGAAATTATATCTACATGTAGGAAAAATTAATTTAATCAAGAATTTATTAAAATAAATCACGTGTATATTTTTTTCATACTTAGTTAATATAACAGAGTTAATGATTCATTTTATAGAACCTTTTAAAGCCATAATTATTCTTTACCAATTTAATAGTGGCTTCTCTTGAGTCTTAAATTAATAGTCAGAAAGGTGCAATAATATTATTATTAAGATTTAAAAAAACTTGTGTGGACAAGATCTGAAGATATCATTATTAGAAGATATTTTTAATGAAACTATACGAGTATCTAAGTTATTTACTTACCTCGGATTTCAGAAGTACAGCATCTATCATAGCCTATAAGTAGCATTAAAATTGTTTGTACCACACAAAGGATGGAAATGTTCAACAGTTGCCTCAAATTCTCATCTTCACTAACTCAGACATTTATTGTTGTACATTCATAATAACCCCAAAATTTTATTGTTGATTTCACTAAGAATGTTCCAATGCCAAAAAATGTGTGATTTCCTGCAATAACAGTAAAGTAGTTTATTGATTTTTGACAAGTCTGTTGTGTGGCTTTCTTGAGAGATAGAGAAAGAGCAGCACAAATCACACTTTATATTGAACACATTTTCTGATTAGAAATATAAATCTAATAAATGAAAAAAATATTATATCATGATTGCACTATACCCATCAATAAACGTAGATTTTATATGGTGTTTGATTTGTCCTTTGTATACTACAATCAACTTATATTCATAAAGTTAAAATAAGACCCAAAACTCAAGCACTTTCAAATAGTTGACTATTGTTCTCCTGAAGAAGAATAGTCAACTATTCGAAAGTGCTCGAGTTTTGGGTTTTATTTTAAGTTTATTACACTTTATATGTGATCCTTTGTGCTAACTCTTTTATCAAAATTTATATTCATAAATGGTATTTGAAAAATAAATATCATTAAGGCTACTAATTTATTATCCTGCATAATAAAGCAGGTGTACTGTTTAATATAATTATATCCCCCCCCCCCAATCATCAAAATTGTCAATTATGCAAAAAAAAAGTATAAAGCCAAGTGCAATTGTAGACCTGCCACCTGTCTAATTCAATAGGATACATGAATTCAAAATTTTGTTGATAAATAAAAATTTATATAGCTGTAGTAAGCTGAAGGAGTTGCTTCATTCACAGATCTACACTATTCTTCACTGTGCATTCAGTAATTTTTAAAATAAAACTGGGTGATTAATTGATTATGTAAAATAATCAGTTAACCAAATTACAATTCATGACATGAAAATAATCAACTAATCAAAATTAGTGTTTCTGATTGTTAATGTTTTTGATCATTACAATAATTTGGGATTAAAAAATAACTTATCATTGTACCTGAAGATGTCTATCGTATTAAACAAAAGGTAGATTGAAAACATATTAAAAATAATAAACTGAAAATAAAAAGTTAAGTCCCATGTGAGAATAATTGATAAGTTGAATGTAATAGAATTATGAGCCAGTTAATTAATCTATTAGCAAAGTCCACTCACTGTTCAGCTCAACCTCAGAATAGTTTCAGTTGGTACTTTCTCAACAATTTGATGATTGTGTATCAAGTTGCCCAAACTCAGGATCATTGGATTAAATCACAGTTTGATTAGTGTTAAATTGGCTACATCAGCACTCTAGAACAATATTACATTTACAAGTTGTAAATTTACAGTAAATGTTTCATAAAAATTTGAAAGAAAACATTTCAGAGTTACAGACTTGGTAGACACTTTTGTATAACATATTTTATTAACTTTATGGTTTTTCAATTTATACACTTTCCTTGCCTTATACTAGTGACATTAATTCGTTATAAGAATAGAATGAATTTACATATGAATTGGGTTATACGTACTGTACATCTAGTTTGCAATATATCCATTTCCCAGAAACAAAAACAAAGTGACAATACAGTGCTTGAGGCAAATTACACTAATATTTAATGCTATTTTAGATTTTTGTAATAACTATTGCTAGAGCAAGAACTATAAAAACTATGTACCAAAATTTTTACACCAGTCACAGCTTACATATAATAGTAAAACAATTACAATACAGTTAGAAAGAAGTTAAAATTTTAGAGGAAATAATGTTTTGTAAACTTCAAATTTAGAGAAATGTTATTTTTTAATTTATAGTACATGTGAAAATTACATAATATATATATATATAAAAGAGGAAGTTTGTTTATTTGTTTGGTATAGGAAACCAAACGGTTGAACTTAACAATTTGAAAATAACTTCTTAATAACCAGTTTTTTACAAGAAATTTAATGGTGCTATCTATTTTTATTTGGTATAGTATTTAATGACAAAATTGACAATTAATGATTATTGCACCATTTTTTTGTAATAAATTTTTTTTGACCATGACAACAAAGTCATTATATCTACAATCAGCACAGTGGTCCAAAGTGTTCATGAATTAACAGAAAAAGTATTTACTAACTTTAGTTATCACTACAAAGATTTTACTTGGTTGTGTGAAAGAGCAATATTGGCACCGAAAAATGTGACAGTTAATTCTATCAACCAACAACTACTCCAAAATATTCCAGAGAATCTTTATATTTACAAATCAATTGATATAGTTATCGATCAAAATGAAGTTGTGAACTATCCAACGGAGTTTCTAAATTATTTGGAATTTCCAGGATTGCCTCCTCACCAACTACAACTTAAAGTTGGAGCTCCTATAATGCTTCTACGAAATTTAGATCAACCTACGCTCTGCAATAGTACCAGATTAATAATAAAGGCATTACAGCCTTATGTCATTGAAGCACAAATTCAAACTGGTTGTGGCAAGGGTGAAGATACTTTTATTCCTAGGATACCTCTAATAACATCAGAGATTCCATTTCAGTTTAGGTGCTTACAATTTCCAGTAAGATTAAGTTTTGCCATGTCGATCAACAAATCACAGGGACAAACAGTGAAAGTTGTTGGGCTACAGTTACAAGAAGACTGCTTCTCTCATGGTCAACTGTATGTAGGAACAACTCTAGAGTAGGAACAGCTAACAATCTTTATGTATACTCTCTTTTTGGAAAAACATGCAATGTTGTATATAAAGAAGTATTGTAAATTCTAATTTCAAATAACGCTTTGTTGGATTAAATGCTTTTTTGTTTCTTGCATCACAGCTTTTGTCTACTTACTGAATAATTTGCTGAAAAAAATAATGATCTATACATTTCAAATCTAAATTTGCTCCGTGCAACGCTGGGTAACTCAGCTTGTGTTATATATCTTGTTCGGCAAATTAAATTTATGTTTTAATTAACTGTAAATTATACAACAACCTATGAATAATATACTATTACATATTTTCAAGGAAATCTATACTTTAAACTTTCTGAAATAGCTAGTACACACTATAAAAAAGTTTTCAGCCATAAATCAATGATGGAATTCAAAATTTGAATATTTTCAGGTTTTTATGAAGCTATTCTTGTAGTACAATATACAGTCTGCAGAAGTAGAAATAGTTTATTTTATTTTACAACTACCTATCTTCTGATAAAGTAAAATCCAACTGATCCATTTTTAGAATTCCTATCATATATGATTATTTAGCTGGCCTCTCCTCAACATGTCTGCTAATACTTTGTTGTAACAAAACATTACTAATGTACATGTCTGTACAACTACCTATAAGATAAATATGTACCTTAAACAACTGGTACTGCAACAATACTCTTCAAAGTTTAGTTAGTATATAATTACCTTTAAATAATTTAAGTAAGGTCAAGTTCAATTTTTTTATTATTACGCAGTCATTTTGTGACTCCTAGAAAGCACCATTTTGTAACTTGTCACTGTAAACATTTTTATAAGCCTAAATGTGAATATAAGAAGTAAAAAGAAAAAGTTAACTAATAAAAGAAAGTTATAATGTAAATAAAACTTTTTTTAATATCTAAGATTCAAGTTTCATATGAAATTGTGATAATTTATCTATACATAAATCAACTCAAAGGTTATTCAAAGCTAAGTTAAAAAATTAAACAAGATCCTAGTATTTAAATATATTTTATGGCTATTCATTATGACAGTGTCCTAAGTCTAGTTTTTACATTAAGGATCAATTTAACTGCACATCAAAACGTGTCATATATTCTATTGTTTGCTCATGTTGTGGAAAATTATACATAGGAGAAACCAGTAGATTATGAGAAGAATGTACCCAAGAACATCTCAGACATAATAAATTGTAACGCAGATAAACCAGTGGCCCAACACTTCGATTTGCACAACCATACCCTTGACAATTTTAAAATTCTCATTTTGAAAAAGGCCCCCACAAACAAACATAACCTCGAAGTAGTTTCCACCCCGAGGGGTTAAATGAACGTTTTAGCTTTTAGTAATATTTCCCATTTTAGTTTTATCCTTTCTTAAAAGGTTTTATATAGTAAATTATATACCTATTTTTTGTAAACTATAATGCATATATGTATGTTCGTGTGTGCACATGTATTTGTATATGTCTATATATATATATATGTATATATATATATAGATAGATAAATATATCTATCACTTT